AAAAATGAAACATTTAAATATTTATATATAAAGATAATCTAACCTAACATGTGTTGAGTAGAATAAATAAAACTAGTTTTGAATAAAGATAGGAAAATGTTTTATGTATAGAGAGTTGAACAATATTTTAGATATGAGAAAACTCAGGGTAGAATATAAAGTTAACAGTTCAAATTGTTTTACATAGTTCTAATAATTTGTCTAATAAAACAGATCCACTCTAAAAAAGAAATACTTCCTAAAAGGTTTTAACAATAAAATAATTGGAATTAAATAGGTACTACAAAATTGTACTAAAACAAACATGAAGTCAGAAAAACTGTTAATTTTCTGTAACTTCTACCTAGAGGTTATTCAATTTTTTTTTTATTCTTTATTATTATATACACAATCTGTACCTCACGGGTACAATAAGAGTATTAGCCGAGATAATATAATACATGAAAAAGCTTGATAAAAACAGCCACCCAGTGATGACACTTAAATATTGAGATTATACATTAATTTATATATGAATTTCTTTATTTACTGTTTTTATAATATTAAGTTAAGAATTACATTTCTATAAAATAGTTTTTAAATAATCAGATTGCTTGCTTAGTAGCTATAGGTAGTTAATTTATAAATTAAAAATCATAAAACCAATATACTAACAATGTTTTCCTCTCTCATATGACAAAAGTCTATGYTTGCAGAGTTCCTTTAAGATTTTGTGTACACCACCATGATGTAGATTTGCAATTGAAGCAGCCAATGTAGCTGGAACTAGTTCATGGTTTTTCATTCCCATTTCAATCTGTTAGTACATACATTAACATGACTACTACATATTTACACTTAAGTGTTTACTAAACATATTGCATTTAAAAATACTTACAGCAGTCAAAACTCTGAAATCTTCACGTGTCAAATAACGAAGCATAGCCACATTCAACTTTCCCATATTTATAATTTTATAGGAATTCCTACTGYAACTCAAAAGTCACGAATTTGATTACGATTGTTTTGTTCTGGGAAATATATATTTATACCATTAATAAATTTCAAAGCCAATGGTATTTGCTTCGTTTATACAATGGATATAAGATTACACACTATAAGTTATAACCTTATAACAACAAGATTGCTACACACGATAAATAACTGAATAATAAATTATTAATAAGATAGAACCACAGTGTTCT